TTAGTAATTGCGTGTTTCTTTCTTCTTCCAGGTTAATATTTTCTTTCTCATAATTTGCCAATTCTACTAGAATTTCATTAGTTTCTTTTTTCAAGTTTCTTATTAAAATAAATACAATTATTAAATTAATAAAATTTATTTATTTGTAAATTTTTATAATTATTTTACCTGTAAGATATTAACAGAACCTCTGTATTTATCTTCAAGATCCTTGTTATCTTGTTTTATCTGAACATGCTTTTCTTTTTCTTCATCTCTTAGTTGATCTTTTAATTTAAGAATTAATAAATAAATTAATTTTCATATTAAATTAACTTGTCTGAATAAGTTATTTAAATCTAATGTCTCACCACAGCCTTAGTTGGTATTTCAGTTTTAATCTTACACTCTAGCGATTTTTTGAAATAGAGTGGACTGTTTCAAAGTTAACGTGTTTTCATCTCGGAGATAATCTTCTTCTTTTTCCTTGGCCTTTCAATTCAATAAGGTTCAAATCATTATTGTTATTTAATTTGATTACAAACGCCAATATGTTACCTCTAAACTTTGTTCAACGATTTAAGGCGATTTAACTTTTCTGATCGTTCTTCATCCAATGTTTCATTTGCTTCTTCAAGATAACATTATATTAGAAGTTCCGAAATATATTCTTGTGTCATCTTCATGTTCATTTGGTACTTTGGGTTTCATTTGCGATAAAAATTCAACTTCTCCATAAACATTAATTTAAGCATAAATTTGATGATGTCGATACATTAATCTTTACCTCATGATGAAAAACATAAAATAAATAAATAAATAAATAAAAAGGAACCTGCAAAATTAGAAATCGTTTATGATCCAAATCGATCCCGCTTTCTTTAAAAGACTTGTAACTTCAGGATAATTGCTTTGTCGCCCATTTATGAAATGCTTGCATTATTGCGAAAAGCTTGACGCGAGATAACCAATTGAGATTGAGGTAGAATCTCATAATTATCCGAATCAGGCTATAATATTATTAAACATCATGCGTTATTATTATTTTAAGTGGAATTTTTTTTTTGGGGGGAAATTAAAACTTTATTATTTACCAAATCAAGAATTTCTTCAAAATATACATCAATTCTGCTAGCATTCAGATTTTTACTTTCCTATGATGATTGATTTTCTCGATAACTTAATACAAATAAAAGTTCATCGATAACATTTGATTTTCTCGAACCATTTGATCTGACGACAGCAGTAAATGACTTTTGAAATTAAATTTAAGGATTAGAGAATCTCGTGATGTAGAAAAGCTCCAAGAAAACAAATGTACGTATCTTATACCTATGAAACGGACCTATTTAAGATCATTTTACTGATAATAAAACGCTTTTTAGGTTCTAGAACAGAAACATTGTCAATAGAAAACTCTAAGTGAGGATGAAGTCATTAAAGGAAGTATGTAATTATATATTTAACGGTGGACGGCGTCAGACACGACTAGAAAGTTGTATATAGAGAGAGATCACGTATATGTGAGACGGGCATTATGCATCCCACAATTTAATACAATTTACGCGACACTCGCGACACCATTTTTTTAATTAGTTAGATTGATCGTCCAAACCGGTTACAGTGAACAGAAAATCCGTGTAACTCTAGACCACGTACTAAAACACGAACTTAAATTTTTTTTTTGGGGATAGTTGGTCTCTTATTCTCAAGAAGCCAATGTTAATCATGGGACCTTGTTGGGATTTAAAGTGGGACAGTTGGGACATATATCACTGCAAGTCGCTATTGATAAAAGAAAGGTAATAACGGTTATTAACTCTTATATTGTATCTATTATCTTCTTTTTTTTTGTTACATCAATCTTATGATTATTATCTTTCTTTTATTTTTTTAGTAAATGTGACTTATGTTACAGTTCCGGAGTCTTCCAGTCATTTTGCTATTAGAGTTGGAGTACATTCTACTAAAGATCCGAACTTATATAAAGGTTTACACATTGTTGATGGCAAGAATGATAACACACATATGAAAATAATCCTATGAACTGAAACATATATTTACGGTTTCTACAATCATCTTTCACCTCTTTGAATTTGATCCAGAAAATGGATTGACTGTAATCCATCAAAGATCACAAAGAATAAAGGTGGTTTAGGAACTACTTCGATATACTGTATTTATAAAGCCGACAGAATACCCGAAAAACGGTCTTCTTTTAAAATCTAGAAATAACTTCTTTAGACGATCTAGCCTTTGACCCCACAGTTATAATTTTAATACTATCCAATTTATAAATAAATAAATAAATAATATTTTTTTTTTTCTGACTTTGAATTTGATTTGAAAAAAATAGTTTAAACAGTCATTTTTATTTAATAATAAAATAATAAATTCTCTAATTGTAACAAAATCATTAAATATGCAAATAAAGTTTTATAATTCCTAAATCCTCGTATACGATAAACGATACGAAGACAACACATGAAAAATTATTTTTCCATTCATGCTATAAAATAAAAATGTTTTAAAAATAGTATATATAAAAAATAAATAAAAAAAAAATTATTTATAACTTACTATTTATTGCCATTTGCCGTTGTTCTATGCGAACTCGAGCAGTACTTCGTGCAATAAAACGTTGAGATTCTTGACCTTGTACTTGCTCAATTGACATTGGTGTCCTATTGTACGAATTGCTATAAATTTATTTTTTGTTGGTTTATTGTTAAACATAGCAACTTTAGTAATAGTAGCAGTAAATAAAATTTTTTATTTGTGTTAAAAGATGCATATAAAGTTGGCAGAACTTTCGAATATCTATTATAATGTATTATAATATATAAAATAAAAAAAAAATTATCGTTTTTCATCAATAAAAATCTTGTAACACTTGTATCGTTAAACAAATTCTAAGCCACATTTTAGTAACAGATTATCGAACAGAAAATGTCGCGTTATGAAATTTTTGGAGGAAAGGCGAATTAGAATCGAATGAAGCATATAAGGTATATGGATTTTCTTCCACAATGTTCCACAGTAATACATTGACCCCATCTATTAATATAAGCGAATTTTGAAATATCCGATATTCTGGATGGGACTAGGGAATTTGACCTAATGTCTCAGTCAGCAGTATGTATAAAGTGACGAGAGTTTAGGTGGAATCCAAGCATAATTCATTGAAAATATTCTTAAACAACTTTTCATCACAATTAGAAATTGCTTTGAGCGAAAGCATTATTGAATTCAAGAATTACGAGTAAATGATTGAATGTCCAAATCATAAGATCAACTGATGTGAGAATCAAATGTTAATCATTCAATACGATTTTCCTATATTAAATATAATTCATGTAACAGAAGTTGTGAAGAAATATTCTTTGGTAGCGATAGTCTCCATAATAAATATCTAGGATGATGAGGTTTATCAGGCTATTCCTTCTACTCATCTAGGCATCGTATATTACAATTATTTTTGATTGAGCTTCAAATTATTTAGACGACTGAACATTGAGCGTATTATATCGACATCATCCGTTATAAGTGTAATAATGGTGTCCACTGCGATTACTAGTATAGTTGTCGTAACAATAAGGATATTATCTACTTTACAGCGAAGCATTTGTTGTGGAAATATGTAAGTGACAAATTGAGCAGTGAGATTTTGTGAATCTTTTAATTCAGATTTTACTAAATTTCTTTTACGTTATGTACAGGATTAAACATGGAGTTTCAAAGCAAGGAAGCAGTAGGAATATGTCCGGTAAAACATATATGGAAACTTAACGTATTTAAATTCACTGAACAACTTTAAATGACAATTTCTTCGTAATCACAGCAAAATGTAATTTAAATTGATTTTCCTTTTTTTTTTATTTTATAAGGTTTTACTTAAAACAAGATCATAATAAAAGAAAGAGCATAATATTCTACGCTTTTATATATTACGGACAGTAAGTATAAATATTTTACTTGATTGGATTATTAAATCTAGTAACATTATTAAATCTATTAACAAAAAAAATTTTTTTTTCTTTATATATCTTATTGCCGGAATCCTGTAATTTTTATTCTACCAATAAATGATTAGGCCAAAATATATGCATAGATTTCGGGTATGGATTTTATCAATCATGTCAAAAGAATTTGAGATATAACAAAAAGGTGATTTACATTTTTGGTTGATTTTTATTAAATAGGACGCGAGTTTTTCCTAATCCAACTCTTTATATCGATATATAATATATTCCGATGTCAATATTATTTTCGGCTGATAAAATGAAATCCATCGAATGTTTATGTGTATGTAGACTTTCGAATGACAAATATATTTAAGAATATCTTTCATTTTGATGCGTTATTTATTATTGGTTTTATGATTATCGTTATTCATATTTTTATAACATCATCCATTTCAATTTCAAAGCGATGTAAATGGAACTCGAGAAAACTCAGTTGGATATATTCCCAGATGAACAAATCAATCCCTTTATACAACTATAATAGCGTTTTCTTGGTGATGTTTATGAAAAATTTTCCAAGGATTCGAAAACAATTTTAGTTTCTAATGCGTTTAATAAAGGTCAAGAGAAATCTACTATCAAAGTTTCATACATAATGCTTTCGAGTTGCAATCAAATTCATCAGGTAAACAATTAAAATATGTACAAAGCTTTTTACAAACTATTTTTTGTTCAAATACGAAATATTTTAAATATACTTCCATATTTAGAGAAAATGATAAATTCAAATGGTTTCATCACCTTAATCATAATTTGATTAAAATTTTATTGAAGAGATGACAAAGATAATCAAGATATTATATGGGAAGTTTGCTAGGAAAATGGGGCACCCTATACAAATTTTTTTTTGGATTTATTAAATACCCGGATATTTCACATGGAGATGTTCCTTCAAAATTTATAAAAATATCTGTTTACAATATATATTTTTTAAGGATCAAAAATATTTTTTTATTTAATCCATCATTTTCTTCATCTTTTTAATTTATTAGAGCGATGAATAGAGCTAGAGGGAGGACTTCGTGGTTTTGGTGTGAAGTGCGTCGGGATTTCGTCGACCGAATTTCTCAAGTGAATTACATGCCTTATTACATCAAACTCTTTCAAACGACACACCAGCTGTATTTCACCATATACTTTTCAACTAAAATAGCTCTTTTTAATCAACTTTATAATTTGAAATTAATCTCAAATTCGATATTGTATATGGAATTGAATTTCAAGAACCAATACCACCCTTCGGATTTGGCATTCTTTCCACATGAATTACATATGGTTAAAGATGATTCAATAATAGCAACAATTTCTACAAATGGTATTATCAGCAAATTTTTTTAATTGTTTATTATTTTTCATTTACATTATTATTATTATTAAAAAATTTTTTTTTCTTTACAGAAACTCAAATGAAGGTTCATTTTGGTTTTGATTTGACATTTGAACAATTGATAGAACAAGAAAATAAAGAAAAAATAAAAATGTAGAGGTATTTATAATTCATTTGATTCAGAATTTCTGTACAGTTTAAATATCAGGTATGATTTTTAATACATAAATTATATAGCATGTTGAAAACGAAATAGAAAAATATGCCGAGATAGAACCATTTCAGGAAAGACGAAGAATATGGGGATGCTATGGATTATGTTGAAAGTTACTTTGATAATGGAGAGGCAGATGATGCATTTGATGACGATGGTAAATAAATTTTTTTTTTTTGATAAAATTTTTTTGTTATATTTCTAATATTTTTCAAAATAAACAAAATAAATTCAGGTGGTGGAGGAGAGGCGTATTTTGATTAAATTTTTGGATTGCAAAAAAAAAAAATGAATAAATTAAATTAAAAATAAAAAAATAATTGAAATCCTGCAATTTTCGTATGATAGAATTTTGTTTTAACTGTTTAATCAAAATTTGCATCAAAAAGTTTATCGATTAAACATCTCATGATTGTTGAAAACAATATTAGTATTAATATTATCAGAATTGGTAGTCGGTAAATAGCATTATTTTCTAAAACAAAATCTTTAAAAGGATTAATGCTAAAATTCGGTATAATAAAGGAATTTTAACTTGACAAAATTTAAAAAAGAATTTAGGTGGCGGCATGGAAACATCTAGTATGAATAAAGTTCTATAAATATAATCGATTGAATTTGATAATGGGCACCGAACCGTCCGTAAAAAATGGTAGCCGGCTACCATTTTTTACGGGCGACGCTGTGTTCGTCAAGATCACCGTATTAATCACAGAAAATCATCGCCTGATACAGAGAATCTCTGCTATTCATTCTCCCCAGACAAGCGTATGTCGCGCTCAGCAGGTCTTCGACGTGAGAAACGTGAACATCTCGAATATAGCGAACTTGTTGTAGGAGCTGGTAGAAGTCGTTGTGTTTTTATTGGGAACTTTTCAAAAATAGCGGATAAAATTTTGACCAGACGACCGCGCAACCAAATACAGCCTAAATTTTTGAATTATTATTTCATCATTAACTTTAGAGTTTTTTATGCTACTAAAATTTTGATTCTCTAAACAAAATTTTTGCACTTATTTTGTAGAAATTTAAAAAGTTATTGAAAAGTTATTTTGTTTATTAAAACTTTAATAAAGATTATATCTTTTTAATAATAAACATATTTATAACAAATATTTTAATGAAAATAATTTAATTTAATATTAAGAAGAAAAAAAAAAGGAATGCAAATCCTAATAATATATTTGATAAGAATTAACCTATTACTAAAGTGATACATAACTTTATACCAACTTATCTTAAAAAGTAATATAGTAAAATAAAAAAAAACTTATGCTAGAAACTAAACAAAATATGAAATTACTATAACGTTTAATCAATCTTCAAAGAATAAACTAAATTCAAGCTCCCTAAATAATTCAAATATTGTTGGACGTTTTGAAGGATCAGGGTCTAAGCATTGGTTCATTAATTCAATATAAATATCCGGAATTTTTTCCGTTGCTGAATGATGATATGCAGCTCCTAAAGTCCGCATGATCATTCCAACGCTATAGATGTCGCTAGCTTTGGTTGGCGGAAAGCCGTATAAAATTTCAGGAGCTACAAAACGAAGTGCTCGAAATTTTTCGATTGGATTCTTTTCAACATGCATACCTACGTCCGCAATGCTTGTATCTACCAATCCTATATTATTTGAACCAACTTTATTGATTAATATATTTCTGCTATGGATATTTCCATGAATTAGTTCATTGTCGTGAAGTATTTCGAGACCTCCAGTTATATCCCAAAGCATATCAACAATGGTTTCGAATCTAAGAATCCCAAATGTTTTACTCAAATATGAGTATAAGTCTTGTTCATCATAATATTTCATAACGATCATAAAATTTTCCGAGACTTTGGTTATGCCGTAGTAGTATGCTAATTTTCCTTTTCGAAAGCAAGTTCGATGTTTATACACCTAATTTAAAATCGTATGAATAAAAAGTTATTAATAAATATTTAACCAATAGCAATAATGATTAAACATCGTTTAAAATTTGTGACTTACTTGATTTAAATATTCTTCACTAATATTAAGTGAATTATCAATTCTTTTAAGCGCAACACGTGTTGGCCCGTCACGTATCCATTGTTCAGCATCTTCATCCCAAGTCTGTCGAGGACCTTCCATCCACATTGCTGAATAAATGGTACTATATGAAGTATTTTTTATATATTCGACTGATTCAAACTGATCAAAATCAATATATTCTAAGTAAGACCCTCTTTCGGTTGCATTTAGCTGAGTATTTTTGATAAAATCATCAATATTAGGATTTCCGCTGGTCCAATTTTTAAAATTTTCTTTAAAGGCATCGGACTCACAACTTTCACACCATCCTTCAATATTTATTTCCCTTCCACAAACAAAACAATCAGAAGGGAATGAATTCATAATAAAAGGATCGTTTTGTTGAAAAGTTAGTTCAGGCATTTGATGTTAAAAAAAGTTATAAAATTTTTTCATAAAAAAGGGACGGGTTGATTTTACTTCTTTATATACGAAAATAAATCTAATTCGGATTTTAATGCGTTTTTTGTGAAAAAAAATAAAACTATAAACATTCCATATTTACAAAAAAATATCTTTTTAATTAAACATTAGACCATTCGAATTAGGAAAATTACCCGCTACATTTATCTTATTTAATTACTGCAAAACAAAATAGTTGATGATTTATTGATTTTCCAAATATATCTAAAGCTTTGTGAATAGAACAAAGGAAATGTTTTTAACTTTACCCGCTACATTTATCTTATTTAATACTGCAAATTTAGATAATTTAGATAAAATACTGTAATTTATTGATTTTCCAAATATATCTA